TTTTACCTTTACAAATGAGCTCAAATATCTAGTTCTAATATCTTCGATTGATTTGACGTGATGGCTCGATTTGTTTCCGATTGTAAATACTCAAATCCATCTTGAATTTTCTTGATCATCAACTGCAAGTCCTTTGATAGCAATTGTTTTGTCTCCAATTTTATCAATATGTAACAATGAAGATTCGAATACAAATGTTAGAAATAAAATTACTTTATTTGTTGTAATCAAAATATAAGATCAACCATATGTCAACAATGATATCATTCTCTATCAGGGAAGGGGCAACAAGAGTAGTGGAGATAATTTCCATGCTGCTCCAAACGTTGATCACTCTCAAGATTTTGTGAGAAAGGATATCAAGGAATGGTTACACTGGCTGAAGTAAGTTGAATATGTTAGATTCTTCTTCCTGGCTTGTGTTATAAAAGTAGCGTGTACAATATCGAAAAGTAACTGGTAATTAATCCACTTTTATTCTTCCAACATTATGTTAAGAGAGTAAAATTTTCTACATTTATAATGACACTAATATTATTTTAGGACAAATTGCAGTAGTAATAATCAACATTAAATGGAGATAGTTTAGAGATTTGGAAGCTCATAAACTTAACTCTCAATGTAAATTCTATCTATGTTTAGTATCAGCAAGATGGGAATTGTATATATGTGCATGCTTTTTAATACCATTGGTTGTTAGATCCTAGCGGGTAATTTAGGGTGTTTGTATCTTAAGTTCGCATTTAAGTATGCATCCTCTTTATCATTTAGAATATTCATGCAAGTAAATAAATCATGGTCTTGGGAAATAAACCAAGTTTTTGTTTATTTTCTATCTTTTACTTGGAGATATACTTGCAGAAAATATATCTCGTCACATGAAGTGGTTGTGCAAGTTGCTAACATGTGTCTAGCATTTATGGACGTACAGAGAAGAAATTGGTTATGATGGATGGAGGCTTGATTTTGTACGTGGATTTTGGGGTGGTTATGTTAAGGACTACCTGGAAGCAAGTGAGCCTTACTTCTCCGTAGGAGAGTACTGGGATTCCCTTAGTTACACGTGTGGTGAAATGGATCATAAACAAGATGCACATAGACAGAGAA